CTCTTTTCCCCTCATTTGCTATCTGTCATATTTATGTCTATCTCAATCTGCATTCCTAATATCATGCTTTCCATGTGCTTAGTGCTTATTTTTGTCATCAGATTAATGGTAGGCTGGAGATTAAGCTGATTCTGCAGAGGTGTCAGATGCCTAATGTATTTGCATATTATTTCCATACTTACACTGGGAGCACTTAATATCATAAAGTGATGGAAACTGATACGTTAAATGAGAAAACAGCCTGCATGACAAAGCAGAAAATACAAATTCAGATCGATTGATTAGCTTGTGTTCTCATGCCACAGTTGGCGCAGCTTGAATTAATTCTCAAGGCTAAATTCTAATGAAAACAAATGGATGTAAGGGCATAATTCATGTCTATTTAGTTTCCAGAGAATTTTCTGTCATATTTTGCTAGTATGAGTCAGGACTTGTTGTCTTCTGACAGTTCGTGTTTCTATGCATTACACAAATGAGCTCAGGTCAGAGGTGCATAGGTCGTGGCCTCATCCATCCAGATATTTTTGAGATATCATTGAAATCTATTAGTATGGCCATTAATTGGAAAGATGTGCAATTGATTTAGACTTTACAGAGCTCAGTTACATGCACAGGCAAACTTTGAGATTTTTGCAAGTTGATTCAAAGCCATTGGTAACATACTTAAGTTTTGAATAGTTTTTCCTGACAAAAAAGATTAAGTAGAAACCTAAATTGCACAGTGAATGTGAGTGTTCTGATGTTTGTTTGATCCTACACATCATATCGTAGATGAATTAGAGTAAACGTAGTATTTCACTAAATTTTTGGCATTGCTGTTGCTTATTTTTCACTCAAAACCTTGGCATATAACTTACTCAGCACAAAGTAGTTTTTTTTTTTTTAAACTGAATCTGGTCAGTAGGCAACCACCCAAATGCTTCCTATTTGTTAAAACACTTGAGATCCCTCAATTCAAATCCTTCTAACATACTCTGGTGTTTCTTTGGCTCTGTAAATTTACATAGTGCCAATAACATTAGTGCCAAAAGTGATCAGTGATTTACTAAAAACTTTACAGTGTAGCTTGCCTAGTCTTGGCTGCTCAGATTGTTCATGACTATTCATTAGAGAAATTCACCTTTTGTGCTTTTTTTTTCTTTTGTCCTGTAGACTTCTGCTCATGTTTAAGTCATAGTTAAAGTAGGAAAATTCCATTCCGATTTCTTAATTTTACCAAAATAAAGAAAAAAGAAAGAAAGAAAAATGATGACCACAAATTAAAAAAATTCAAAAATTATATAAATTATTATATATTGCATGCGTAACAGTTTAGTGGCACATTAAAGGTGATATTGTCAATATATAATGTAATGTTTTTGAGTTACAAGATTTTTTGTAAAACTGCTACAGTATGTCATAATTATTCAACCCCTATTCAACATTGCTGTTTTTAAAGGGAACTGTAATTTTTAATTATTTGATAATGTTTCCTGAGGTGCATTTATAATGTTAGTATAATTTTTACATCAAAAATTGTCATAATTTAAAAATAAAAGGACATTTTCTACTAGGGGTGAACCATATCATACCGTCCACGATAATACCGGTATAATTTTTTACATGATAAAAAATGGTCATATCGCGATATCAATGATATAGCGACATGATGATGTATGGCGGATATACATTCCCTAGCGCGCACAACAACACCACCACAAACCCAGTAGGTGTGTTCGACTTGAAGCAGCGCTGCGCAGGCCGATCGGCGTATGACATCAAAGTATTGCGAGAGCGGTTCTAGAGCACATTCGAGCGCACACTCTTACCTTCAAAAATAGGCGAGGCGCATATCTTTAGCGAAGCGGCGCGGAGCACAGCTTTCAAAGTATACTCAACCGCGGATGAGCGTGGACGGACGAGCTCACACATATGCGCAGTACCACCTACTCTTGTCTCAACATTCACCTCGCGCATGCGTTGTTGTACGCGCACCGTCCGCGCGGTCTCAAAAAAATTGTCTGCACGAAAAATATAGCCTTAACGCGCCGCAAAGGATGGAAAATGCCCTTCATTTTGTTTGCACTAATAAATGCTGCTGCCTGCCAGCTGCAATCACCAATTAAACATTGTTCCATGTTTTTTTTTTCTATATCGTCATAAATATCGTTATCGCAAATATTCTTGAAATATCATGATATCATTTTGAGGCTATATCGCTCACCCCTATTTTCTACCCTGATCTTAGTCCTCTGATTTGAACGCTCTGTTGGAAGGGGCGTGTCTGCTGTGAGACTTCAATGGAAACGCCCGTTGCTATGACTGGCTAACATCTTTGCATATGAAATAAGTATTAGGCTACGTGTGGAGCTCTATCAAAAACGTTTTCTATGTTTTTACTATTACAGCTGTTGAGATTAACTAATCTTGGAGAGTGTTGATTATAGCATTATATTTAGATCTACTCCCGTTGCATGAGAGGTTTTAGCGATGAATGCAGTGATCTCGTCATCGCAACTCGAGTTTTGCACTTTCACAAATGCTTTCATCATAACAAACAGTGCAAACACAATGTAAATAAGAGAATCACTGTGCAGTGTCAAAGTGATCTTATGAGAATTTGTATGTATTTTACATAAAATGTGGTTCAACAAAACGTACATTTACTTACTTTGCACAGACACTGAAACGTACAATGCTGACGTATTTACAACATCTAAATGTACAATACTGTTGTATTGACGACACCTAAAACGTAATTATTTACGTATGAACAACTTTACAGACTTACAAATGAATCCTTATGCATATTGAAAACGCGGTATTAACATTTTATTATATTGTATTTAGTTGTCATATCAATGGCATTATAATATCAATGTCATATCAATGGAATATTCAATTCATTCATTATTTCATTATTAAATGGTTTACTCATTTATTTATATGAAATGATAACATTTCGTACTGTTCTGTGTGATTTCTGCTGCCAACCAGTTTCGAAGAATACATAATGTTAAACAAGACTACACTTTAAACCCTTAAAATGAATAACATTTCTGCAATCGTTGAAACATTACTTATGTAATATTTACTTTGTTTGCCATGGGACACAAAAGGCGTTTTCTTCGACATGCTGTGACTGACAATAGAACCATAAAATAGAATTTTTTTCTAGAAATAGCCTATGGATAGGTTTAGAGGTAGAAGTGGGATTAGCGACAATAAAAAAAACAACATATTTTTAATGCTATATTGTTACTAAAATGGTAATTTCCCTGCCTATTTTGTTCAATTCCGTGTTATATTCACTATAAGTGGGTAGGTTCAGGTTTGGGGGTAGGTTAAGGGGTCTAAAAATCTAAATCACATCAATAAAATGATAAAAATGCATTGATACAAATATCTTAATGATATAAAAGATTCGTAAATATTTAACGTCTTTTAGCTGTTCGTAGCAATTTTTTTTTTAGTCCAATGATCCTTTATTGCTCTTCTGTCCTTCTCATGTCACTAACGCTCCAGTGGGAGGGGCCAAAGACGTGATGATGTAGAAGTAGTTCAGTCGTTTTCTGATATTGGTTTCAATAAAAGCTGTATTTAGACTAACAAGCAAGTTTTGAGCTCTGAAACTCACAGGATGTTTTTATAGTACAATGACACATCAAGGAAAATTTGATTTCTCAATTAATGACCCCTTTAAGTCACTTGTTTGTATGGTAGGGCACAAAACTGTTAAAACACAAGAATTTGGAAAGCCTATAACAAAACTTAACTAGCTTGAGCTGTTACACATACATAAATTTAGCCAATGAATGTGCTGAAGTTGAGTGGCAATAATACATAAGTCAAAAGAGCTCTCACAAAAGTATAGAGAATAAATTGTATTTTGTTTCCCAAAAGCTTAACATTTGGAAATTTGTTTAGCTGTGTGTCTGTTATAGTTCAAGTTGAAAATTGTTTCCATAGACCTTTAAAACTTTGATTGGAGGCATGGATCTGTCTGCCTTTTTTATTAGTTGAGCAATTCATTCTGGAAGTTTCACATATGCCAATAACAGTATTTCGGCCCGAAAGGGGATGTTGAAAAGCAGAGTTTAAAACCTTTGCCTCAAGGTTGTAAACACACAAAAATACCCTATAAAAGTAGTGGAAAATTTCCCACACTAAGAGATAGTGCTCTTTTACATGCTGCTTTGGCCATGTAAAATGTAGAAAGTGGCAGTTTGATGACCACTATATTTTTAACTGGTAAGCAGTTGGTTGCAAAACCTCATGAAATATAGATTTACCTTTCAAGTTTACAGTAACTAAATGAGTTTGGTTGATCAGAATTGCTTTGTTCTCTAAAATCAAACAGATCATGATTCATATTGTCCTTTGATAAGAAGTACTGAAGGAACAAATGATTGAGAAAGTATTGAAAGGTGCAGACGTGATGGATAGGTATTGTTTATGTCCAGTGAGTGACAAAGGACATATTTGATTATTGTGAAACCGCATCCTGTCATAAGTACAAAGTCTTTAGTTTGATGTATAGATAAAAACATTTTTGCAAAAACACCTTGTTCCAACTTCCTGGAAGAATATTTGCACACAAACAAAAATGATGAAATCTGATCTGAACAAACAAACAAACAAACAAACAAACAAACAATCCAACAAATGCTAATTCAGAAAAATGTTTTCATTTGATTTGATTTGAACTAGAACTGCATTTTTTTTAATGGTCATATTCATAAAATATCAGAAGTGGCATATTTGACTGCTCTGGTCTGTAAGTAGTTATTTTCAGGCGACAACGAAAGTTTTCTAAGTGAGTTCAGTGTGTGTTTTATTTGAATGGTCCCACGTACTATATACAGTATCTTATGTTTATACTAAAACACAGATGGTTCATGGACATGCAAATCAATTACAGTTACTGTAGTGCATCTACTCTCTTCAACAACCTCTATTTTAGTATATCTTTCATCATACAGATCTAATATCTCACTTTTCCTCTCGTCTCTCACTGACAGATCTAAGGAGTTCAGAAGCCACGAGGGACGATGAGGAACCCTGGGGCCGTGCTGATTTTGACCTTTATTGCCAAATTAATATTGCAAGCAGCAGGTGAGCAGTGTTAGGAGTTCTGTTATATTGCTTTTAAACCTATAGTAAGCAGTACAACCTGACTAACTTCATCTTCACACTTACTGTACACTGCTGTTTAAAATGTTAAAAAATGTTTTTTTTAAGACATGAATGCTTTTATTCAGCATTTAATTGACACAAAATGACAGTGAAGACATTTATAATGATACAAAAAGATTATATTTCATATAAATGCTTTTGAATTTTATATTCAAAGAATATATCACAGTTTTCACAAAAATATTAAGCAGCAACTGTTTATAACATTGATAAGAAATATTTCTTGAACAGCAAATCAACATATTATAATGATTTCTGAAGGATCATGTGACACTGCAGACTGCGGTAATTATGCTGAGAATTCAGCTTTGCATCACAGGAATAAATTACATTTTAACATATATTAAAACACTGTTACAATAGTACTGTTTTTACTGTATTTTTAGTCAAATAAATGCAGTCTTGGTAAGCATAAGATATTTCTTTCAAAAGCATTTAAAAATCTTACTGACCCCCTCAAACTGTCAAATAGTCGTGTACATATATGGATTGCCATAAATTTTGGTTTAGATCAGTGTTTTATATTTTTAATATTTATTCAAATAAAAATGGTGTATACTATATTAAAAGAGCAAGATCTCACAGCATTGATGTTACCTCTGTGTCAACCTCACTATTTAAAGATATTTAAGTAAAATGTTAGATCAAATTCTCACGTTGTGATACTTTGATATATACTACGGTACTGACTGATTACCATATTTAAGTACCATGCTATTTACATGTACTTAAAAGAATAACATGGTTGTTTTTGTTAGTATATTCGATGAACAATGTAAGCCATATTAATGTAACACGAAGCAAACAAATTTGCATAAATCCTACATTTTCGAATGTGAAACTTTACATATGAATAGTCTTATGTATGTTTCAGACAGAAAAATACCTATTTTACAAAAGGTTAATGTAACATGATGTTGAATTCAACTAATGTACTCTAAATGGGCACTATATATCCATAGGTGTCAGTCCGCCAGGCAAACCCAGACTCACAAGCTGTCGCTCTCCAGAGAAGGAGACCTTCACATGCTGGTGGGAACCTGGAGGTGATGGAGGCCTGCCAACCACCTACGCCCTCTACTACCATCTAGAAAAGTCAGTCTCAAGTATTTCTTTATTATCTTGAGAGTAGACTCAGTCTATAATGGCCATCTTTACTCATCTCTTTGTCTCCCAAAAAAATATCAAAGGCCTTGCTCTTTCCTCCAGTAATGAATGGTTTAAACTAGATTTTCTCTGCCATGTGTTTATTACTTTCTGTTTCTGAGCGCATATGTGAAATAATCAGAAAGCATACATGATATACCTCCAGCCAACACACACGTCAAATATAAAACTCCTCAGATTTTCACCAGAGCAGATCCTTGTTAGTGCCATGAAGTGTTATGCCAACATTACAGCTTTGAGATTCAGCAAGTACTGTACACAAACCCAATAATGTGTAATACTGCACCAAATGGAGTTTATAGAATTCATTTTAATACAGTTGGATGTGCTGAATATTTAAAGGCTACAATCAGTGAATAGTGATATGTTTTTTTAAGAGCAAATTTTCTTTCCTGCATTGACAAACATTGACTGAAGCAGAATTTTCATCATCACAATGAAACATCAATATTTTGGGGCCACCCCCCCCCCCAAAAAAGACTGTATTTTAATTGCATATAACTGCAATAAAAAAAGGTTTATTTTGTCAACTTTAAGGAGTACACTAGTACTGTATATACAATACTGTTTGAAGATTTTTTTTAAAGATGTTTCTTATGCTCACCAAATCTGCATTCATTTCATCAAAAATACAGTAAAAAAGTAATAATGTGAAATAACTGTTTTCTATTTGAATATATTTTAAAATGTAATTTATCCCTGTAAAGCAAAGTTGAATTTTCAGCATCATTACTCCAGTCTTCAGCGTCACGTGATCCTACAGAAATCAGTCTAATATGCACATGATTTGGTGCACAAAAAAATAAACATTTATTTTAAAAGTTGAAAAATTGTGCTGCTTAATATTTTCATAGAAACCATGATAATTTATTCAGGATTCTTTGATTAATTAAAAAAATAAGGTTCATTTGAAATAGATTTTTTTTTGTAAGTATTTGTCACTTTTGATTAATTTCATCCTTGCTGAACAGAAGTATTAATATCTTTAAAAACGTTTTGTATGGTAGTATAGATTAGCATCAAAGCTAATAGACATGGCCAAAATGCCATCAGTTTATTTTCAACCCAAACATAATAAATGATTTAAGCAAGATTAGTTAATATTTTTATGATATCAACATGAGTATTACTGTCGGCATGTTCATCACCAAAATACTGTTTATCTGTTTAGGAGTGCAAGTTTTTCCACTTTGCTTATAAACTGTCACAGTTTTCAGACACAGACTAGCTGTAGAAATGTTCGTATTTTTATTTCGGTGTCTAATTTGTATAAGCGTAAACGTGTCTGTTGATATCTCTCATATGCAGCTCAGAAACGGTCTACGAGTGCCCAGATTACAGAACCGCAGGCGAGAGCTCGTGTTTCTTCAACAAAAACGACACATCGCTTTGGGTCAACTACAACATCACTGTGGTGGCCACCAACGCCCTGGGGAAGAACATTTCAGACCCCGTGGAGGTGGATGTGGTCTATATAGGTATGCTTATGTGTTTCTGTCATCAACTCATTTGAACGTACTATTTGTACTGTACCACCCCCTCTATTTATTTATCATCTCTGTTTATTTCTCTTATTCCGTCCCGCTCACATTATGCTCTTTCCAGCATGATGTGTCATTTGTTTGTAATTTTGTGAGTTAGTACATAACAGACGGTACAGACCACTGTTGCAGATTGTCATCAATAAGAGGAAAGTTATTGCTGCCTGTCTGGGATCACTGTTGCGAAAGAGCATTATTTTGTCCTTTGGGTCGTAAAACATTACACACCATTTTCATCGGTCACATGTTCTCTACTGTGTTATGCCATAAGGCTAATTTTTTACAAATCTAAAAATTAAGATTCTTGTGGTTTACTTTTAGTTGCAATTTTAGTTTTATCCCACACAGTTTGCCATGTCAAGTTCCTTTGATTTGACGTTTTGTTCGTTCAGTGCAATTCCGTCTTATCATTAACTCGTATGTACAACTATAACCGAGACTAAACTTTAACTAATGTTTTTATTTATGCTGAAGGGGCGAAACATTCATTCACAATACGAAGCACACTTTTCTGTTCTTTCTTCCTTCTTCAGCAAGTTTGTGTGCAAAGGTCACTGGAAACTGGAAACCAACTAGTTTTGTGTGTTAATGCCGAATTTTACAAAAGATAAGCAAAAAAGAAAATGATGTAATTTACTCACCCTCATGCGGTTCCAAACCTGCATGACTTTTTTTTTAATGGGATGTTTTATAAAAAACTCTCACAGCAACTCTTTTCTGTATAATCAAAGCATTAAGTTACTATAGGGGCTGTCAAGGTCCAAAACTGGTTTGCAAAATAAGCAAATGAGACTTGATAGCTACAGTGGTTAGCAGTGACTTATATTTCAGTCTGTTCCTCATACAAAGCTATGGCTTTAAAAGACTTGTAAGGGGCATATGGACTCTTATGGTGCTTGTCTGTCCTTTTTGGAGTTTTAACAGGCCCTGGTTACTGTATGATTCCATTATACTCTATGGAAAAGCGTAAACATTCAGCAAAATATTATGTGTTCCATGGAAGAAAGAACAATATACAGGTTTGATACAACATGAGGTTGAGAATGACAAATTTTACTTTAACATTTAAAATGGTGTGGATCTACACTATCATTCAAAATTTCGGAGTCTTTTTTTTATTGAGCAAGGGCACATTAAATTGATCAAAAGTGACAGTAAAGACCTATATGTTGTTACAAAAGATTTCGATTTCAAATAACTGCTGTTCTTCTGAACTGTATGTTTAGCAAAAAATCATGTATGTGTATCAACTGTTTTCACAGTGATAATAAGTCATGTCAGCATGTTAGAATGATTTCTGGAGGATCATGTGACACTGAAGACTGGCGTAATGATGCTGAAAATTCAGCTTTGCATCACAGGAATAAATTACATTTTAAGAAATCAGCTATTTTTAATTGCAATTAGAAACCAGTTATTTTTAATTGCAATAATATTCCATAAAATTACTGTATTTTTATTAGGGCTGCCCTCGACTAAGGATTTTTCTGGTCGACTAGTAGTCGTTCATTTGAAGCATTAGTCGGCTAATCGCACGTTTATTAATAAACCATTTAAATCATTATAATGAGCCTTTAATTGCCTACATAGCCTAATAAGTGCTCAAGCACACGCATAAAGCTTGCCACAGCGCACTGGCAGAAGCTATGATTATGAATGTGCCAGGGAAAAACAGTAAGGAGGCTGCATTAACATTTTAATAATTCACTGATAAACAAGTGCTTTCTTTGTTTCGGTTTAATGCCGAATTCACACTGCACGATTTTAGCCCGATTTTTCTCTCGCCGACAGGTTTTGCGAAATCGCCGACAAATGCCCGAAATCGGAGGCAAATCGGTGCTCGTTCACGCGAGTGACAATCACGCAGTGTGAATTATCAAAGACGCGATCTGAGAGAATCGCCGACGCATCGCCGACGCCCGTGAAATATTTGGCATGCTAAATACCTGGAGCTGTCGGCTATTCACAATCCTGCTGTGTGAAATGAGTTCTGACTGAAAAACACATCGGCGATGCGCCTGCATGCATGTTTCAAACGGATTACATAATCTGAGAATATTTGTTTTCCATTTGAATTGGTTAATTTGAAAGAATACATTTCACTCTCTATAGATATATTTTAATGTCTGTAAGGCAAAGATATACACGGAGTTTCGCGCTCGAGTTCACAGACCGAGACGGCAGAAAGCGCATCCTGTTTTCTTTCATTACTTTACAAAAGCGCATTTTGTTGTTATTGTGAGTGCACACAAATAAACAGAGAGTCTTTACAGATTTGAAAGATGTATTACTCTCATCTGTATGACCAAAAATTACGGAGTAGCCTATTTTAAAGCAGCACTATGTAGCCTAACTTTTTCTGTGTTCAAAATTGGCAAAATGTATATAATGAGTGAGTACATCATGAATTCATCTTCCAAACCGCGTTTTTGTCTTATTCCGAATCACTA